ACGCTTGCTTTAATTTGACAATCTTGCTTGAGTAGTTGTGATTGTTGAATTCCAGTGATTGTATGCCTTAATCTGGATTAAAATTCTAAGGGTTGTGTTTGGGTGCTATGGGTCATACCTTGATTGTACTAGTGCATACTTTGATTTTTTCTTCAGTGGTTACAGGGTTGAATTCGAGAAGATGGGTTGAAAATAGGTATGTTGAGCCATTTGGTGAGCTGGGTCGAGCTCGCCGAACCACTCGGCGGTTCGCCTAACGACCCCATCTCGCCTTTAACTTAATGATAAATATGTTGTTAATTCTGTGACTTTCGGCGAGAAGTTGAAGGTCGCCAATGACTTTCGGCGACTCGTCGAAAGTCTCGTTTTACCCTTGTCAACTCCCCTGGATCTTTGTGCACTGTAGCTTTCAATGGGACAACTCTAGATCATCGAATAATATCGGTGACTCACCGAAAGAGTTGGTGAAGCTTATCAGTGCTTTTGTCAAATATTTCTCTAACTTCTCTTCGAGATTTTACAGACATGACTAAACCTAAAGCTGCTGATAGAATAACGCTAGCTCAAGAGAAGTCCAAAGGAATTTAGAAAAAGAAAGATGCAGTTACATCGAAAGGAAACGTTTTGAAACTACCCACAACTACTGGGAAAGGCAAGGGCAAGAGGCCCACTCCTGCCCGGAAAACCATTACCCTAGACCCTGATACTTCTTCATGGGCCAAGGGATTTTGCAGAGCAGTGCATGTCTTTCTGGCAGACTCACAATCAACAGACCATGGTGAAACTGGCACTGTTGTTCCCCCTGAGGTGACCTCAGGCAGTGATGCCCAGGCTCAGGGTAAGGCATCGGGCACTGATGCCCAGACAGATAGAGAGACTGCATAGACAGGATCCCATTTTTACCTCCCTCTCTATCTTTCTTTAATATACATTCTGGATATTTTATTGCTTGCATTTGAGGACAAATTGCTTTTATTTGTGGTGGGGTGAGGCCCACCTTTGTGAGCTATTCGTTGAATTGTGTTTCATTTATGTATTTGGGTTGTAAGCTATAATTGTGTTAAATACTGCTTTCGTGGAAGATTTGAGCTTGTGGCTTCGTGTTTTAAATTGCAAAATGATTTTGACCATTTCGAAAAAAATTTGCCACCCCTTCTGTGTTGAATGTGGTTGTTCCTTCACAAATTTGAGTCGGTTCAAATCAATATTGATGACTTGGATAGTGCTTAAAATCGAACAAACATGAATGTGTGGTTACAATGAGACCAATTGAAGTTACATAGTCAATATGTGAACTCTATGCATCTCATTGTGACTAGCCAATTATCAAATCGATTCTCTTGTGATGAACGTTGCACACTAGCGAAAGTGTGGAGTCTTGTTTGACTTTGGTGTCGATGCCTTGTGTGATGAGCTTACTATAAAACATGCATGATAACACCTAGAATTTACCCCATTGGTCCGGTTAACTAAGTAAGGCTATCTCTTGATATGATCTTAGGCAATTTCGAAGAGTGTGAGCCAATTTGACATATACCCCTCTTTTGTGGCATACCTTATGAGTGTGTGAACCTCTTTTGAACCCCCCTTGAGCCTTACCTTTCTTTGGAAGAAACTTGATGAAAGCATGACCTGTCTTAAATCAACTACCCATAATCCTCATGATTTGTGGTTGATTGAATAGCCAACTTAGGTCAAAAGCCTAAGTTGGGGGTGTGGTGAAAAGAAAAGACAAGCCAAGAAGTGCAAGAAAAGTCCCCTTTAACCCATGGTGTTGAGAGAAATGGAACCCCTCCATACAGAAAAAAAGAAAGAGAAAAGACAATTAGAGAAAGGAAAAAGAAAAAGTTGTGAAATAATGTTATGAGAAATGTCAAAAGAAATGGGGTTCCGAACAATCCATGGAAGTGAATAATGGGATGACTTATGAGCACTAAAACAAAATAATGAAAGAAGAGGGAAGGGAGTGTTGAAAGCACCACATTTCACGAGGAAGAAAGTCACTGAGCCTAAATGACCATACCTTTGCACTCAACCCCATTACAAGCCTTGAAAAGATCATTTTGATTTTGAGTGAGCTGAAACAATTGTTGATTGGAAAATATGGGTAAACCTATGGGTGAAAGCATGCATTGTGTTTTTCTTTGTGAGAGTGAGCGTTGCATTTGATTCTGGAGCTTTAAATGATTAAACCATTGTGTGAATATGGAATCATTCTTCGTGTGAGGGCATTTGAACACTTTAGTTGAGCTTGAACTTGCATTTGAAGCAAGTATTGTGAGCTTAAGAATCTTTGATAATGGTGTGTAACAACTTGAGTCTTTGAGTATACAATTGATTCTTGCATGAGTAAGTTGAGTCTTGTTGTGCACATTCATGATTGAGTCTTGTGTAGCACTGTTTGAAAAATCCTTTTTGAACGACTGAACTTGAGTTTTACTTGAGGACAAGCAAAAGTTTAAGTTGGGGATGTTGATGAGTCCATAATTTGGACTCATTTAGGGCTATATTTTGATAGCATTAGTGTCCTCAAATGCATATTTTGTCTCAATATCTGATGAAAACCCTTAAGTTTCAGGTATTTAGAGTTTGAGGCAAAGCATGAACACTACTTAGTAAGAAGGAACAAAGCGGCTGAAAAGAACAAAGAAATGAAGGCATGAGGATCGCCGAGCCCAGTTGGCGAATCGCCGAAAGGCCTACAATCTCGCCCTTTGTTCCAGTGTGCTGAGCCATAAAGGGAAAGATCAAGTTGGCGATGAAATTGAGCAATCGGTGTGTCTCCGAGCAGTTCCGTGAAGCAGTACTCTATCGCCCAATGACCCAGGACGCAAAGATGCTGAAGGCAAGCACTGAAAGGCGATGAAGCAGACCAAAGGGCGGATCACCGAATGGGTCAGCGATCCCAACTAACTGCGCCAAATGGGTCCTTTACATCACACTTTCTGAAAAACTATAAATACCAGTTGAAGTTTTTACTTTAGTATTAAGTTTTATATTCAGACTTAGAATATTTTCATGTTTGGAGAGGGTTTTGAAGAACTTGAATACCCAAAGGGTTTCAACTCCAAGATTTTGGACTTGGGTCTTGTGGATTCTTCACTATTGGCTTTTTTGAGACTTAAATCTTCATACACATTTGAATGCAAACTCATATTGGTATAAATTTCTATCTCTTGTTCATCTCTAGCTAAAACCCCAATTCTTGGGGTACTGTGATTTGGTGAATATGGGTTAAGTTAATTGTTGGGTCTTGCTTGCTGATAGTTTAATCATTGTTTAAATGTGATTTCGTTTAGTAGTTGTGTTGGAACTTAATGAAATTGTAGTTGTAAATACAATTTCACCTTTGTGTTTTCAGCTTGCTCGAGAGAGAGGTCGTTAAATTAAGACTACTAAATTGATGGCCGATGGGATTGGGTCGACATGAGGTTCAGCTCGAGAGAGTGAACCCTAGTCCTTCTCCCACACACTCAACTCGAGAGACTGAGTGGGCTAAAGCGGAGGCTGTTCTTCATGCGGCAACTCGGTGTTCGAGAGAAATCGAGTTGATTCTGGGTAAGTTGTTCGAGAGAGAATTTACCCCAACTATAGTCTAGCCTAGTCACAAATATTCAACAGATTTATTATCAAAAGCATGTACCCAATAGTTTAGTTTATCCCGTATTCCTATCACATCCCAAGTATCCCATCTCCTTGATTAGTACTCTTTGCATTTTTGTTGTTCTTGCTTACTTGTTACAAACCCCCCATTGATAATTGATGCTTGCATCACCCCTTAGATTTAACATGTTTATATTCGATAATCTGTTTAGCTACGACTAATTAGAACTTAATTTTATTTTTCTATGGATTCTCAAAACCACTCCCTTGGGACTCGACCCCAACCCTTGGTTGGGTTACTTTACTATTGTACGATCGTAGACACTTTCATTGGAAGTTATGTCTTTATTACGCAAACATCAATACACATTCAATGTACTTCTTTTGTGACAAATGAGTTTTCCTTACATCTCTATGACGGGTTATTCTCATGCCCAAAATTTGTTGGGCATGACCCAAGTCTTTCATAGAAAAAGACTTACACAACTCTTTCTTCAATTCGTCAATCTTGGAAGTATTCCTTCCCACGATCAACATATCATCCACATATAGCAAGAGGATGATAACATTATCGTCTTTTGTACAAATACACAATGATCTGAAGACGTCTTCTTCTAGCCTTGGTCCCCATAATAGATTCAAACATCTTGTACCACTGTCTAAGAGCTTGTTTTAAGCCATAGAGATTATTTTTGAGTTTGTACACAAAATTTTCTTTACCATTTACTTTGAATCCTTCGGGTTGTTCCATATAAATTTCTTCTTCTAGGTCACCGTGAAAAAAGTCGTCTTCACATCCATCTGCTCAATCTCTAAATTAAGACTAGCTGCCAAACCTACAATTGTACAAATAGAGGACATTTTCATGAATATTCAGTCAACGTCAATACCCTTCCTTTGACGAAATCCCTTAACAACCAATCTAGATTTGTACTGGGCTTCAAGTTGTGTTCTTCAACTTAAACTTTGAACACTCACTTGTTCCTTAAAGTTCTCATGCCCTTAAGCAATTTCACCAACTCATAAGTGTGGTTCTCATGGAACGACTATATCTCGTCTCGCATGGATTCAATCCATTGATCCTTGTGCTCATCTTTCATGGCCTCCTTATAACATTCAGGTTCTCCCCCGTTAGTAAGTAACACATACGCATTGGGTGAATAATGAGAGGAAGGAACCCATTGTCTTATGGACCTCCTAAGCAAAATATTTGATTCGTCCACAACTTCATGAGCAGGTCGATCATCAATAACAACATCATTGTTATTATCAACATCAACATGTTGATTCGATATATGATTCTGGGTGTCACCATGATCATCAAACCCAACAACATTCATGCACACTTGTGTGAGGAAATTCATCAAGATGAAGTATGCCATCAAAACTTGAAGATTCTAGCTTCTTCGCTTTGTCAATATTTTCAATAGTTTGATTCTCCATAAAACAATATCACAACTTCTCGCAAGTTTCTTCTCAATTGGATCATATATCTTGTAACCAAATTCATCAAGGCCATATTTAACGCAGATGCAGTGCCTTGTCTTGGCATCTAACTTTGACCTCTCATCTTTTGACACATGTACAAAAGCTTTGCAACCAAATACTCTCAAATGGTCATAGAAAACATCATTTCCATACCAAACTCTATTTGGAACATCACTTTGCAAATAAACAATGAGAGATAGATTAATAACATGTGCAACGATCAAGAAAGCTTCACCCCAAAATGAGTTCAATAATTTTGCTTCAGAAAGCAAACATCGAACTCTTTCCATCAAGGTATTGTTCATCCTCTCAACTAAACCATTAAGCTAAGGAGTCTTCTTGTATCTAGTACCTTGATGCTTACAGTATTTATCAAATGGTCCAGAATATTCACCACTATTATTAGTACGAATGCTTTTCAGTTTCTTTCCAGTTTCTCTTTCAACTGAAGTCTGAAACTGCTTGGAGACACCTAATACTTGGTCTTTAGTCTTCAACACATAGACCCAAAGTTTTCTCAAGCAGTCATCAATAAAAGTGACAAATTAGTAGAGCATACCACCCAATGTCCTTACCTTCATTGGACCACATAAATCAGAGTGCACCAACTCAAACAACTCCGTGTTTCTTGAAGGAATGTTAGACTTAAAGGAAACTCTATTTTTGTTTACTAGCCAAACAGTGCTCACACTTCTCTAATTTAGCACTTTCGAAATCTGACAATGATTTCTTCTTGGCTAGAGAATTTAATTCTTTTCTCGCTGATATGGCTAAGCCTCTTGTGACATAACGTTGGAGAGTTATCGCTCTCAACTGCATTCACCATATCAACACAAGTAGAAGTCGTAGTGTAATATAGACCGCAACGTTTGTTGCCACAAGCCACAATCAAGAAACCCTTAATGAGTTTCCACTTTCTATCACAATTGGTACTAACATATCCTTCATCATCCAAAACACAAACAAAAATTAGGTGCAGACGAACATCATTTGCATGTTCACATTGTTCAAAACTAGTTTAGTTCTAACACTAGTTTCCAAACAAATTATATCAATACCAACCACCCTAGATATAATCTCATTACCCAAAGGTTGCAAAATCTTTTTCCTTGATGTCACGTGAGATGTGGCACCAGTGTCTACAACCCAACTTGACTCATCACAAGCAATATTTATCATATTTGCATCAAGGACGGTAACAAGATATTCGGTGGTGACGGTGGCTAGGAAATTTTCATTGCCATCTTCTTTAGTTTTCTCTTTATCTTTGTTCTCCCTCTTCAACTTTCGACAAAACTTTTTTGTGTACCCTTTCACGCCACAATGATAGCACTCAATATCTTTATGTCTTCCTCTGGATTTCTCTTGTTTTGTTCTCTATTATGAGAAACACGAGGTTTATTTCTCCCCCTAGGGCCAGCCACTAGGACATCCGACGAAAAAAAACCTAGAGATTTTCTTCTCACCTGGACACGTTCAACACACTGCTCTTGGCAAAATCCATAGAGATCACACCATACGTAGTAGAATTTGATAAAGAAGTTCTAAATATTTCCCAAGAGTCTGGTAGGGAACTAAGTAGAAGCAAGACTTGAATTTCTTCATCAAACTTGATGCCCATAGCAAATAATTAGTCCATAATCCCCTTAAAACTATTCAGGTGATCTGTCATCGGAGAACCATCATGGTAATTTAGACTTAGCATCTGCTCTATCATGAACATCGTATTATTTCCAGTTTTTCGAGCATACAAACTTTCAAGACGCTCCCATAGGATCCGAGCATGTGTTTCTCCAGAAATATGGTTCAACACATTATCGTTAACCCATTGCCTAATAAATCCACAAACGTGTCTGTGCAACAGATTCCACGTCTTTGCAACAAATTCCACTCTTCATCTATTTATTTTCAGGCTTCACAATGGTAAAGACTGGTTGCTAGAAATTCTTAACATAAAGCAGGTCTTCTATTTTCCTTTCCAAATGGTATAATTAACACCATTCAAAGTAACCATTCTATCTGTGTAGGATTCCATTGTTTCCCTCCAAAAAATATAGCTATTGCGATCCAATGCTCTGAAATCAGTTTGTTGGGAAAACGCTAACTAACACAAAAATATATGGTCAAATAACGCAAAAAAGAATTTTACGTGGAAACCCTTCTAAATAAGGGAAAAACCACCGGCCAAGAGGAGCAACAAATATCACTATAGTAAGGAATTTCACATTGTATAGTCACGAGTATAATACTCAAACTGACTACTACACACTCAAAATGAATAACACTCTTTAGATTTACCACCTGACTAAAATATTGCTCACATCTTCTTTTTCTTCACAAACTATTTTTCTTATATAATCTACGCAATACCTTACTTTGCTCTCAAATAAAAAATTTCTCTCTATCTTGGTGTGTATTACAAATGTGAAAGAGTTCTCTATTTTTAGGAAAAAATTCTACCTATTGATCACATCAATTAGGAGTGACAATTCAAAATAACATTTGCTAATATTTGCTGAAAGTCTATGTTCACAACCAGAATGTCCATTTGATGCCAATCATTCAATTCAACATTTGTTGCCACTGTTACTTTTTAACAATTGCTTGCAGCAATTGAGAATCTTTGATGTAGTAGCCAAAGTTGACAAATAAAACATGTGATGTACCCCACACAGATGGCAATAGAAAGCTAACTCCAAAACACATGAAACTCTCAGAACGGAACCTTGAAATTCATTTGAAACATCTTAAGTCAAACCATTAGTGCAATCGATCATAAAACAAATCTCGAACTAGTTGAAATAATCCAATCTCCATTCCATGGTTGTCTTGACCATATGTTTACCATGGTCAACTATTAAATTAAGAAAAGCTAAAAATCCACGCAAGGACCCAAAACATCCCCCGAAGGACTTGGGAACCTTGGATAACTTTCAACTAGGTCATAAATGACGCTCTTGACCTAGTGGAATCATCAAAACTCGAATTCAACCTTGTCAACCCAAATGTTGACTTTGATTAAACTTTTCAAGTTTCAAACTTTCAAAACTCAAAAACTTACCCGAAACACATATGATCACCTCGGGAATCTTGTCACCATTTCCATAAACCAAAATTATGAAAAGGATCAAACAAAGAAAAAGAGACAAAAATCACAAAATGATGTTGAGGGCTGTTACAACAAAAAGTTGGTCAAGGTATTTTATCTTTATCCATTAAGAAATATCTCATTAGCTATACATATATGCAATTCAAAATAAAAGATGTGCTAAAACATAATCGAGCTACATTGGGTCAGGTACAATGTTCTTTCCTTACCCATATCAAAGCACTCTACACACAAGGGCCTATAACCTCGACCTCAGTGTGGAAATCATGATTGAATCGACGGTGTTCAATCTTCCTTCATCCTTTGCAAGGATTATGGAATAGGATCAACCAGTATTGATGTAATGATGTCCTTGAAGTGGGTTGTGGAATGAGTAAATACATCTCCATCTTTGTAAAGGAGATCTATCACGCGTACAAGATTGAGAACTCGAACGAGAATAAGCACTAGTACATCAGTTGGACTCAAGCATTGCTTGTTTACATCTTCCCATGCATCGTTTACTAATTTTTGAAGCTCCAAAATCACCTCTTCTTTTGAAGTTCCATTTTGTGTCATTAAGCACTCCACTGTTGATGGTTCATGCCCTTTTTCTTGCTCAAACTAAAATAAATGTGTCCTAATAGTTTATAAACTTTATACAAGAAAAATATATATTGGAAGTAACAACTAAAAGAATATATACTTCTAAAATTTATCCTTGCTAATTATATAAATTTGAAATATATATGATGTAACAACATAAGACACACATAATTATAACATGTCTGAAATGCAGACGATGGTTGCACTTCAGTAGTATGTTGTGACTTCCCAACTTCAAACAAGGATATTATTACTTTATTCACGTATGTCTGAAGTTATGTCCAAAGCACATAAGTTTTTTTTAAAAATGAAATTAGGGCACAACTTAAATAGTGATCCCAAAATTGGATATTTCTGGCATCCCTATCTATAAACTTTACCTTTTAAAGATTTTTGACCCATCCAATGGTTAAAGTAGCCCATCCTTACGAGGTAAAAAAGCAGAGACGAATCAAGAATTTTAAGTTTGAAGAATATTTTACTAGCCAATTTTTAAAAGTTCCAATTTTAAACTGGCTAAAAAAATACTAGCTCAACCCCATCCAACTAGAAGGTTTAGTTGGTAGATATAACGTATATTTCTTACCATACTTAAAAGACTTTTCTCCATGAAAGTAGAAAGCATTACACAAAGGAAATTGCAAAGAAAGAAGTTCAATAAGCCAAAAAAAAAAAAAAAATTAAAATTCTTACTTCATGTCCAGCAATGTCATCCATGAGTCTGGCAATTACTGTTGATGCTTTAACAACCAAAGGTTCCTTTGTTACCCAATCCATGATATATTTATTCATCAAATTATCCTCTATGCCAACCAAAGAGATTGTTGCAACCATCATGTAACCACTAGAAACAAGTGAAACCTTTATATACTCCTCAAAAGTTGGAACAGAATAGTCTGAATGATACCACTTTGCCTCGTCAAAATACGCCCTTATCAACTTTTTCATCTGAGAACAAATAGGAAATATTAGTCGATAACTATATTGTCAAACTAGGAACAATAGAAAATACATCAATGGCAAGAAATAAAGAATGTAGTAATATGAAGTGTATGATTATGACCTCATTTTTGGCATAGTAAAGGCGATAGGTTTTGCCTTTCTTGGCCAATTCTTCCTCCATTTCACTATATACGTCAAGAATGGCAAGATAGCACAGTCTCATGTATGATGACAATTGATCAATGGCACTACGTCCAGAGTCCGAACTGCTATTCAAGCATCATCTTAATCAAATCGAGCAGAGTAATATTAACAAAAAAGAAATTATATACTTCCTCCATTTCAATTTGTTTGTCCTATTTTTACTTCAAACAGATTTAAGAAAGTAAAAATACTTTTGAAACAAACCTCTCTATTACATGTGTGAAACACCTAAGTTCGTCATAAGATCCATATACATCGTAGATTTCATCGATAATGGTAGCCAAGGCAATTATTTTAGCCAACATTCTTCTTGCCATAGCAAATTTTGGCTCGAAATACACTGACAATGACCAAAAGTAGGACTCAACTAATCGATCTCTAGCAAACGGATACTTGGTTAAAAATTCCAAATCTCTCCACCACCTAAATCCAGAAACGTAATCTTTGAACCAGTCTTTAACAAAAGTACTTCCCGAGTACTCCTATAAAGGATTTAGCGGGAATAATATAATTGTCACTATATTATATTTAGAGGCAATAATAAATATGATATTTGTAACAAACTCTCTATATACGTTATGTTAAAGACTTTAGCGACTCTGAATGCAATGGTATTGACTCAACTATGGCTAAATATTTTTGCGGCAATAACTATTACAGCTAAATGGTTTTGTGGCATCACATCTTACCTTGTAATGTGACTTAGCTCCTTCGTATGTACCTTTTGCAACAAGTTGAAGTCCAATTTAGCAAATTTAAGTACTACTTTATCCCTTGTGTCATACTTTTGGTATATAGATATAATTCTTCTTGCATCTACCCTTGGTAAGCTCATACATATTGGTTGATTCAGGGCAAGCATAACTTGTTCCCTAAAGAAATCACTCAAGGAAGGCATCATAGATTTTAGATGACTTGATGTGAAGACTAGGGCTTGCTCTAAAATATCCTCTCCATGGACTCGAAGATGTGTAGCTTCATAAAAACTCAACATTGCTGGTACATGTGTAGTCAATGCCTTCTCAAAATTTCCTTCACTATCCTTGAACTTTTTGAACACATCTGTTTACACAAAATTAACCATTCAAAGTATTAGTTAACAGATATTAGACTAATATATGAAGTTGAAAGTTGCAGAAGTGGGGATATTTGGGTGGATGTTTAGGCACATTAGGAGAGGTAACATTAGAAATGAGGATATCTAAGGCAAGGAAGAAGTGGTCTCAATGGAAGATAAGATGTGGAAATCAATGCTTAGATGGTTCGGACATGTGAAGCAGTAACAGAGCTAGGAATTGCTGCTAGTGAGATTTGAACACATGACCATTGACTCATTCAAGGCATCTAAAACCGCAAGGCTACAACAGTCTGTAATATCAAGGGTGTCCAAAAATATGTTATATAATCACTTCGTTTATCATTTTACTTGTATATACAGTATTTTTTTCCGACGAAGGGTGTCCAATTAGACACTCTAACAACCACATGACTCCGACCTTGATGTGAAGAAGGGATGCATTGATGCACCATTGCAATATTGATGTGTGAGGTTGGCTATGAATGGTTACAAGAGAGACATAGATAGACCGAAGAAATATTGCAGATAAGTTAGTAGAAAGTACTTTTTTTCCTAAGGTTTCTAATTTCGAATTTTCTTTCCACACTGGGACGTTCGTCTTTCTAATGATCTCTTTGATGATAGACTCTATCTCATATATTTGTTTAGAAGCTGAGGAGATAGAAGCGAAATTGTAAACTGATTTGAACGTCATTGTCATTAACAAAATAAGAGTTAAAGTTATAAGGAACCTAATTTTTTCCTACGGTTTCTCTTTTCCTTTTTAAGGTGTTTGATATCAGATTCACTTTCCATGTCGGACCCTTTTGTCTTTCTATCCGTCTCTTTGATGCTAGACTCCATCTCAAATATTTGAAAAGTTGTGGAGATAATAGGCAAAATTAAAAACTGATTTGAACATTATTGTCATTAACAAAAAAAGAGTTACTATTACTAGGAACCTAATTGTTTTCCTAAGGTTTCTTTTTCCTTTTTAAGAGGTGTTTGTGAAAGAGTTGGTTTGGTTCTTGTGGAATCAAACTCAATGGAAGATTAATTAATATGAAGATTTGGTAGGAAGATAATTAGTGCAAAATAAAAGTCAAGATAGTATCTTGGTAGGTAAAATTTAGGTAAACCATAAAATGGTTTCACATGTTTAACCTTGACATTTTTGGTACGTAGTGATGTCATGGATGACATAAATAGGAAGAATTCATTCCTATAAATAGGTAGCTCTTAATTCATCTTCAAATCATCCTTTCACTTGCCTTCTCACCTTCTAAGGCATTTGATGTTCTCTCTTGTAGTATTTCACTTGTATTCTTTGTAGAGTGAAATAAATATTGGTGCAGTTGTTCTTTGGTGGACGTAGGATCATTTTGATCCGAACCACGTTAAATATTGTTGTTCTTCCATGTTCTTTAATTTCATGTTTTCGCTAACAATTGGTATCCGAGCCAATGTTCTGTCTAAGTATGCTCTGTGGTTGCAACATAGTCAGAACTTCCACATCAGAAAAAAATTACTTTAGTTTTCTGTATTTCTGAATACATTGTAGTAGAAAAGGAAGAACAAGTAAAAATGAGTTATATGAATTTTGATATTGATAGATTTAGTGGGTGCAACAACTTCAATATTTGGAAGATCCAGATGATGGCGTTACTGCGGTGATGCTTTTGAAGCATTTAAAGAGTGGAAGATTTTGGTAGAAAATCAAATGGAGAGAAAAATCAAGTATTTTCGCACAGATAATGGCTTGGAGTTTTGCAGTGAAGAGTTCAATGATTTCTTCAAGGTTCATGGGATTGCAAGACATAAGACGGTCAGGCACACACCACAACAGAATGGAGTTGTCGAGAGAATGAACAGAACTCTTCTTGAGAAGGGTCGTTGTATGCTCTTACAAGCCAAGATGTCCAAAGTATTTTGGGCTTAAGCAGTTCATATTGCTTCTCATATTGTCTATCGATCTCCAGCATCATCGATTGACTTTAAGACTCCGAATGAGGTCTAGTCAGGTGAACCCTATAACTATTCATACTTGCGAATATTTGGGTTTCCAGCTTATTATCATGTTAATGAAGGAAAGCTTGAACCAAGGGCTAAGAAGACCATATTCATAGGATATGTAGATGGAGTAAAAGGGTACAAACTTTGGTGTTTGTCCTTACTCAAATTTGTAGTTAGTAGAGATGTTACCTTTGATGAATCCTCTATACTTGATCCTCGTAAAGTTTCTGTGGAGTTATCAAGAAACGAGAACAACGAGCAGGTGGAGCTACCAGTGGAGCTTACCAAGAAATGAGATCAAGAGACTCAAATTGATGAGTCAAAAGATGCAGACTTGAAGAACTTGATGTAAATAAACCATACACAATTGCGAAGGGAAAGGACAAAAGGCAGATACGGAAACCGGAATGTCTTATAGAGCAAGAAAATTTGATTGCACATGCGTTCGTAGCTGCAGAAGAAGAGATTAGGATCTCGAGCCTCTTCGTATGTTGAAGCAACTTCTTGCAAAGATGTTGCACAATGGCAGTTAGCCATGATGGAAGAGATGAAGTCTCTTCACAAAAATGAGACATGGATCTTAGTTAAAAGGCCAAAGGGGAAGAGGACAATTGGATGCAAATGGGTCTACAGAAAGAAAGAGGGTATTCCAGAAGTAGAATATGCTATGTTCAAGGCGAGATTGGTTGCAAAGGGTTTCGGCCAGAAGGAAGGAATTGACTACAATGAGATCTTCTCTCCAGTCGTGAAACATAGCTCAATTCGTGTGTTACTAGCATTGGTTGCACAATTTGATTTAGAACTTCAACAGCTTGATGTCAAAACTGCTTTCTTACATGGTAATCTAGAAGACACAATCTATATGGATCAGCCTGGAGGTTTCCTAGCTGAGGGAAAAGAAGATAATGTATGCCAACTGAAGAAGTCTTTGTATGGTTTGAAGAAATCCCTTAGGCAGTGGTACAAGAGGTTTGATGCATTCATGACTACACATGATTTTTCGAGGAGTGCATTTGATAGCTGTGTGTATCACAAGAAAATGTCTAGTAACTCTATGATTTATCTATTGTTGTATGTTGATGATATGCTTATTGCTGCTAACAACATCACATAGATAAATATTTTGAAGAAACTGTTGAGCAAGGAATTTGACATGAAGGATTTGGGAGTTGCAAAGAAAATCCTTGGAATGGAGATTTCAAGAGAAGATGGTGTTGTAAATCTTTCTCAAAAGAGGTACATCGAAAAGGTTCTTGAGAGATTCAATATGCATATGAGCAAGCCTGTAAGTACACCGTTAGCTTCTCATTTCAAGCTTTCAGAGTTACAAATGCCTCAGTCAATGGATGAGGTAGAGCATATGTCAAAGGTTCCTTATGCGAGCGCAGTTGGTAGCATTATGTATGCTATGGTGTGCACACGTCCAAATATTGTTCAATCTGTAAGTGTGGTAAGCAAGTACATGGCAAATCCAGGAAAAAGGCATTGGGAAGCTGTAAAGTGGATATTGAGATATCTCAAACGAGCTCCTGATATTGGCCTAACCTTCCAGAAAAGTGAAGGTATTTCAATTCTCGGTTATGTAGATTCTGACTATGCAAGGGATCTTGATAGGAGGAGGTCCACAACTGGATACATCTTTACTCTCGTTGGCAGTGCCGTTAGTTGGAAATCGACCTTACAGTCGATTGTCGCTTTGTCTACAACAGAGGTAGAATATATGGCCGCAACGGAGGTAGGGAAAGAAACTATCTGGTTGAAAGGTTTGGTGGTAGAATTGAGTTTGATTCAGCTGGAATCAACTCTAAGATGTGATAGTCAAAGTGCTATTCCTTTGATTAAAAATCAAAGATTTCATGAGCGCACCAAACATATTGATGTCAGATTCCATTTTATTTGAGATGTCGTAGAAGAGGGAGCTATCAAGGTTGAGAAGGTTATCACATACGATAACGTTGCATACATGTTGACCAAGATAGTCCCGCTGGCCAAGTTTGCACACTGCGAGGACTTGGTGGGAGTATGCATCAATTGATGCAACTCTGAGAGAACAACTGCTAGGTGGAGCTAGTATGTTCAACAAAGGTTTGATTCTTCTTGTTTCTTACAACGGGATTGCCCAGTAAGTTTAGAAGTTTTGGCCGGAGTTGTTTATACGTATGCTCAGAATGCAAACAAGGTGGAGATTGAAAGAGTTGGTTTGGTTCTTGTGGAATCAAACTCAATGGAAGATGAATTAATATGAAGATTTGGTAGGAAGATAATTAGTGCAAAATAAAAGTCAAGATAGTATCTTGGTAGGTAAAATTTAGGTAAATCATAAAATGGTTTCACATGTTTAACCTTGACATTTTTGGCACATAGTGATGTCATGGATGACATCAATAGGAAGAATTCATTCCTATAAATAGGTAGCTCTTAATTCATTTTCAAATCATCATTTCACTTGCCTTCTCACCTTCTAAGGCATTTGATGTTCTCTCTTGTAGTATTTCACTTGTATTCTTTGCAGAGTGAAATAAATATTGGTGCAGTTGTTCTTTGGTGGACGTAGGATCATTTTGATCCGAACCACGTTAAACATTGTTGTTCTTCCTTGTTCTTTAATTTCACGTTTCCACTAACAGTTTGATATTACATTCTCTTTCCACGCCGGACCCTTTTGTCCTTCTATCTATATCTTTGTTGATAAACTCCATCACAAATATTTGAGAAGTTGTGGCGATAATATGCAAAATTATAAACAAATTTGAACGTCATTATCACTAACAAAAAAAAGAGTTAATGTTACAAGGAACCTAATCTTTTCCTAAGGTTTCATTTTTCTTTTTAAGGTGTTTGATAACATATCTCTTTCCACGCCAGACTCTTTAGGAAAACTATAAACTGAGAATGTCATTGTCATTAACAAAAAAAAGAGTTAATATTACAAGGAACCTAATTTTTTTCCTATGGTTTCTTTTTCCTTTTTAAGGTGTTTGATATTACGTGCTCTTTCCACGCCGGCCCCTTTTGTCTTTCTATCTATATCTTTGATGGCAGACTCCATCTCAAATTCTTTTTTGAGAAGTTGTGGAGATAATATAGGTAAAATAGTAAACTGATTTAAATGTCAATGTCATTAACAAAAAAGAGCTAATGTTACAAGGAACCCAAGGACCGAAACATTTTTTTTTTGTCAAATAAGATACTTATATTAATGATTATTATGCATCAGTACATGAGACGGGCAGAGCTATAATATTTGAGAAGTTTTGGAAATAATAGGTAAAATTATAAATTAATTTGAACGTCATTGTCATTAACAAAAAAAGCGTTAATGTTACAAGGAACCTAAGGTCCGAAACTTGCCATCATCTAGTACTTCATTAATCTTCTATTTATTTAAGTATATTAAAAGCATGAAGGTCCTTAGAAATTTTGATCTAACATTTTCCCTTTATTAAATGACCCTATTATATACAAAATGATCATTTACTATTTTTAATTTATTATTAATAATATTTAGGACTTTGAAATTAACTAGAATTTAAAATAAATTAAAAATGAATTCTTAAAATATATGATAAGAGGAAAATATATGAGAATTCCGTTGAAATGAAAATTCCTTGGTCTTGAGTGGTGGACCAAATGATTAATTATGTTGCAATTACTTATAATGGAATATTTAGTTAACCTGATATTATTTATTAATGAATGGTTGGTTTGTTGTGTTAAAACAATATGAATTGCATAATTTCTAAAAATAAGTTGTTAGCTTACAAAAATACCCTCCAAATGTAAAGAATGTGAAAAATCGTCATTTAACTATTTTATCTCAAGATAAGTTATCCCAAAATTAGTATTTCAAC